GCCTGTAAGGCCTCCTCCTCTCCCCACAGCTCCAACAGGCTCTTGATCTCAGCGCCAGACCAGGATGGTGCCCGGCGCTTGGAGCCCTTGGCTGGGTCCTCAGAAGGCTCTGTGGAAGGGCCAGGACGGTCTTGGGGCTGGGACATGCTGCAGCAAGGTCGCCGTGTGCTCTGGCTCCTTGTCTGCAACAAGTGTCTGTGAGGGTGCCTGTCCCTTTAAGGAATGGCTGCAGCCAGGAACCACAGATGTGCAACTCATGCCCCAGATTGTCCACCAGGGCTTCTTCCTGGAGGCCAATTCTTTCGAAAGAAAGGGCTCCCCCCGTCCAGACTCACGTTCTTTCGACGGATCTCCCTCGAAAAAGGCGTTCTTCCTCATAAAATTAGGTGTACAGCCGTCGAAAGAAAAGCCGCGTTCTTTCGATTTACTTTCGAAAGAACGCGGCTTGAGTCTGGACGCAGGGGAAGTTCTTTCGAAAAAAGGCTACTTTTTCCGAAAGAACCCCTGAGTCTGGACACGGCCTTGGTGTTCACACCTCCACATCAGCTGCTAGAAGTGGACCTCATCCTCCCTGACTGAACTGACCTCCTTATCTCTAGCCTTACTCTTAATTGAAACTCTTTTCTTATGCCTATATATTTATACCTGCCTCTAGAATTTCCACTACATGCATCTGACAAAGTGGGTCTTTGGCCATGAAAGCTTATGCTCCAATAAATCTATTAGTCTATAAGGTGCCACAGGACTTCTCATTGTTCTTGCAGATTCAGACTAGCACGGTTACCCCTCTGATACTTTGATGCAGGAAGTTATCCACATGGAGACTGCCTGAGAAGAGACTCTCTCCCCCTTCATCTGGTCTGCATAAAATACAAACAGATGAGATGTAGTACAAAAGGGTTTAGTCCTGTCCAGGTAAAAGGCAAGGTAGCACCCAGACATCCAGTGAATGAAGGCACTCCTTCAGGACTGAATGTGACTTAGGACAGAACTCAAGTAGATATACTGCCTGGCTGAGGTGAAATTAAGACACCACTTTAGATAAAAACTTAGGATGTGGCTACAAGGTCACTTTGTCTTTAAAGAATTGCATATAAGGGAAGGTCTACCATCAAAACTTGCAATTCACATACTCTTCCCATCGATGTTATAGCCAGCAGAAAGATAGTCTTTTGACAAAGAAGAGGAAAAGAAAACTCCAAAGACTCAGACAGAGGTCCCATCAGAGACGTATTGAGATCTCACAAAGGAACCAGTAATCCCTCTGGTGGGTGGAGACAAAGGACTCCTTTCAAGAACTTCGCTACCATGGTCTTCAAAAATACCAACCACCCCTGAACAGATGAAATACAAAAATCTTAGCCAGTTGGATCTTTAACAAACTCAGTACAAGACCTGAAATCTAAAGGTACTCCAAGATGTCCTAAATAACTCATACCGAATAAAGGTGGCTGCCAATCTGATGGAAGCTACAGAGTAAAACAAGCATCAGAGGGTTAACCATGTTAGTCTGTTTCAGCAAAAACAATGAGAAGTCCTGTGGCATCTTAAAAACTAATAGATTTATTTGGGCATAAGTGGGAATCAGCCCACAAATGCTTATTCCAAAATAAATTTGTTAATCTTTAAGGTGCCATAGGACTTCTTGTTGTTAGTGCCAAAACAGGTTTCTTGGCCTATTTGAGATAGTGCTGCTAAAGCAAACATCTCTAGTCACCTGACCTCTTTTTGTGAAAAATGTATAAACTGAACTCTCAAGACCCTCACACCAAACAAACCAACCCCCTCATAAAGGGACCACTGATATGATTTGCCAAACGACATGTAGTGCTTCAACCATGGTGAGGGCCATCACCTAGGCCAAATAACTATACTAACATTAAGTAGGGTACTAACTGACTATGCAATTATGTACAGAGAAGACTCTAAGAAACTGAGAAGGGATTGTGAAGTGAAAATCACAGAGCTCCAGCTCCAGCCACCGACACGGAGAAGGAACTGAAGGGTGGGAGGTCAAGGTGGTAATGCCACCTTATATAGTCAGGGGAGAGGCTAAAGGCACACCACAAGGAGTGAGCACTGTACTCCTACAGGTATTGCCAGGCAAAATTATGTAGCTTCAGCACACTGGTCATGCACACACCTAAGTGGGATACACAACTGCATGTACTCGAATAACTTCAGCTATTTCTATTGATAAATGATTAGGAAAGATCTCTAACATTATATATGACTTGTACAACTTCTTCATTACCTCGTTCAAAGTTTCCATCACTTCTTCTTTTTTATTGTTTTTGTAAACCTTTGCCAATAAAATCAGGCTCTTGACATCCTTCATCAGGGAAGGCAAGTTATTAACTGAAAGATTAAAATGGTAACATGTTATCTTTCTAAACTGACATTTTTCTGGACATCAGAAACAAAAACTGATTTTTGGAGTACATAATAAAGAATTTCTGTGTTACTAACATATGTGTATACCATGGCCTAAGAAAGAGCCCTCATACTACGCAATTTAAATATTTATTGAATGCTTGTGTAACTGTATTCAATCTAGAAATATAATTAACTTGAATAATTACTTATGAAGAAATTAATGTTACATATAGTAAATGATTCACCGGGCACATTTGAATAGAAGGGGCAATGTTTACCAGAGTCATGGTCTAGAGCTTGATTCAGAACTTTTTCTGCTTTGTTAAACTTCTTGAGTTTGAGGAGAAGTTCAGCAAGATCATGGCATAAGAAGTCCTGTGTGCTCATTTTTAGAGCTACTTCATAATAATTAATAGCCTATAAAGAAATTTTAAAATGTTAGTATAATATCCCAAATATAGAATTATGGTAGGTCAAAATGAAGCTTTCATTTATAACGTCTGCCATCTATTCAATTTTATTATTTCTTTTTGTTCTTATGATTTAAAATGCTCAGTGAAAAACAATAAATTATTTATTTTCAAGACCTTGCTATATTGGTGAGTTTTCACATATGCCTGTCCAATTTTTCTGGCCAGTGCTGCATCTAAAGGATTCTTTCTTTGAGCTGTTTCGTATACTTCCACAGCTTTATCTGGCTAAAAATGACAGAAGTGGGAGTTATTTCTATATGTAATATTACAAGCTAGAAATATATTTGCAGAGGATTCATCAATATTTATTGCATGCTATATAAGTGCTAGATATTAATTATTATTTAAATTCAGCGTTTCAAAATATATTTATGTTTGAATTTACTACTGATGTATTATATACGTTTATGCTAACCTCTTGAATATTCATGTAGGCATCTCCCAAGAGAATGCTAGTATGAGGACTTGGCAATTGTTCACAAAGTTCACTATAAATAAAAGAACAACATTTAGACTCAAGAAATAATAAGAAACAAATATTGAAATCTAATGCATGAAATGTAAGAAAAATACATGAACCCTCCAGAAAACAAAGTCAGTTCTGTCATATATATAAAACAGAGCTGGAACCTCAGTCAGCATAAGTCAGAATAGCTCCAATGACTTCAACACCAACGCCTCAAAATGCTTGCACAATCTAAATGAAGACAAGATGCAATATACAGGAGCAGCCATCAGAGAGAATTGGGATGGAAAGTTGAAGATTATAGTGATAGAAACTCATGGTTACAAAGAAGAACCAAAAGAAGTTAGAAGGTTTTGAATTTTAAAAAATATTGATTTTAACAAGAAAACTTAAAAAACAGCAATGGTCCTGTAGCAACTTAGGGTGTATCTAGACTGCAGGGTTTTTTGGTTTTTTTTGAAAAACGGCCATTTTTCCGAAAAAACTTCACGTACATCCAGGCTGCTATTCCATTCTTTCAATAGAAAATTGAAAGAACGCAGGGGTTTTTCCGACATTGGTAAACCTCATTCTATGAGGAAGAACGTCTTTTCCAAAAGAGATCTTTCAGAAAAAGGTGTGCGTGGACAGGGAAGAAGGAGTCCTTTTGAAAGAAGAGGAAAGAGGAAAAAAGCACAGGTGCCCTGATGGCCACTCCATCCATAGTAATCACAGCTTAAATATGAGATATAGCGTCCACATGGAATGGACGCTATCTTTTGAAAAAGCAGATCGTTTTTTCGATGCGCTTTGGCAGTATGGATGCTCTCTTTCGGAAGAAGTTTTTTCAGAAGGTCTCTTCCGTAAAAGCGTCTTTCAAAAGAAGCTTGCAGGTTAGATGTACCCTTAGAGACTAACCAAAAAATATATTTCACTACCACACTCTGATTCTAGCTCCCTCTTCACAAACACACAAAAGTTCAAAGGGCTTGCCTGCACTTTGAAATATACTAAAATTGCTATTCCAGAATAATTATTCCTCAGGCTAGATACACTACAGGTTGGACCTCCCTGGTCCGGGCACCCTCAGGACCTGATTGGTCCTGGATGAGGGATTTTGCTGGATCGGGGGTGGTCATTTCTGGCCCCTGGCCTCCCTCCAGCCCTGGCCTGACTGCTGCCCCTCAAAGGAAAGGTGCTATTAATATCAGACAAAAGATTCTTCCCCTCTTTTTTATTGTAGGAAGTCTTACACACAAAAGTAATTCCAGTTCTGCTTCTCTGAACATTGTTGCGTATTGTAAAATAGCCAAAGGACCATAAATAAAGGAAAATGATAAAAACAATATATCAAATATGTAATGTCAGGGGAGATACCTCAGAAGATAATGCATAGATATTTTATTATACTCCATCTTATTAAATATCCTGATGGATATTTTCCCCCTGAAAGATGGAAAAAAAGTAAAGCACACTGTACTTGGAGATACTGTTAATACGAATGAGACAGAAATTATTATAACTTTAACAATATGTATATTGCTGTAATGCAGGGGTGGGAAATAACACAGCAGCAGCTTGCCAGGGTGAGCTTCTGGTGGGCTGCCACTGCTATATTTACCTGAACAGCCAGAGGTTCTGGCTATTATGGCTTGCACTTGCTGCTGATCACTGTTTCTGGTCAATGGGAGAAGCAGGAAGCAGGGTGGACTGGGACGCTGCTTTCTGAGGTTCCCATTGACTGGGAACAGCAATCCGCAGCCAATGGGAGCTGTGATTGCCAGTACCTGAGGCCGGGCAGTTAAATTTTGTGGTGAGGACCTGCCAGGAGCTAAGCCTGGTGGACCTGATCCGGCCCGCAGGCCTGTATTTACCTACCCCTGCTGTAGTGCCTAGAAATCAAGCAAGTTGGGACCCCATTGGGTTAGGCACTGTACAACTATAAAAGTAATATTCCATTCTCCAGAGAGCTTACAATTCAGACAGACAGACATGACAGGTGGAGGAGACAAACAAGCAAATTAGATTGAGGGGAGGGGAGAGAGAAAATAAAAATAAGGCAAAATTTTTAGCAAGTCAAGAGTAGTAATCCCAACTATCTGTTCGTCTTGCTGTATAAAGGCTTTTCTGTACAAACAGGTGTTGTGCAGTGAGCAGGGGTGCAAATCTACCCAAGAGCAGCCTGCCACATACTAACTCTGTGAACATCACTGTCACACACAAATTCTCAAGTGCACACTGATCTATCCCACTTTGAAATAGGAGTAGATCAAAGAGCACTAATGAACTGTTAGTCCACAGCAAAAGAGTCCACATGAAGAGTTAACGGGCAGCAATTAGAGCAAGGTAAATTTATATCCCAGCTTTATCAGAACCAATTGTTCATCTAGACAACCCCCACACCAATAATACCAGAATTCCAGCATATTTGGAATATGAGCAAAAAAATAACAAAACATTTGGAAATTGCAAGCTAGTGCATCTGGGGAAAAATCTTATATGGTCTGCTTACATGGATTACTCATATTATCAGTGAGAAACCAGATGCCAAAGTTCAGTTCTCAACATAGAGAAAAATACCATTCAGTGAATTTCTCCAATACTTTTAATGTATATTATTTTGTTTTAATGTATATGGAAATTCATTACAATTATGATGTGCAATCCCTTTAAGTTATAGATGTGCTAGACTGAAGATTTAGCTTTAGTGCAACAGCAGAAAGATTTTAAATGAATGATTTATCAGTCAGGATTTATAATAATTTAATCATAGAATCATAATGTCTACTTTTATTTCTGTCAGTCCAAATTCTGCCCACTTTTCTCATTTGAGTACTATCTTACTCTGAGTCAAACTGTGGCCCAAGCAATAGGGTGGCATGAGGAAATGCAAGGTGCTCCCATTGCTATTTACCTGAATCATCATTAGTAGCATGGTATGCAGATACAGACTAACCAAGCAGGCCAGACGGAGCAGAGACAAGTCAGAGCCTTAGCTGTGCTCTCCCAACACACCAAGCACTGTACGTGTGTGCTTACTGCTTCACAGCATGTATGCTGCAAGAGGTACAACTTCAATACAGAACATTCTGTCTGAGAATCACTATTTCCTGCTCAAACTGCTCCTGGGGCAACACAGGAAAGTACTGCCCATAGCACAGGGCTAACAGCAAAAATACAATTAAGATTTCTGTGAGCAATCCTTTTTACTGAAAGGTCTAATTTTTTAGGAAGGCCTTACTCAGAGTGAACGTGACAGAATCAGGCATTTAGTCTTCCTAGCTTCGTTTTTTTCCCCTATAAAACTGGTTTACCTAAAAGTTAGAATCAGGAAGTATTTTATATTTCTGGCGATGACAGAAAACTTTTTTGTCTTCATTAGGTGAAGATGAAAACCTCTCTCAATAAAGAAAATGCTAGTTCTGAAAGAGAAATATTTGACTCAATGCCAATTTGGGGGGAAATATACACTCTTGGCTCGTGATTAATTCTTGGAAAATTCTGCTATTTATACTCACACTTGTGCAGAAAGGCAGTACTCAGAATGAGTAAAGGTGGTACAATCTGATGCCAACTGTTTAGCACAATATTTTATATGATAATGTTTGTTGTTGTATTGTTGTATATTTAAATATCGATACATTTCCTTAAGATTCTCAATGATTCCTAATTTTTTCTTTGTCCTCCAAGATACTTAGTTGTCTTGTTTTCTTAACACAATATGTGTATTCATGATAAACAAAACTGAATTAAAAAGGTGATTTGTGGAAGTGGACTTAATTCTCTGGATTCACAGTTTTGTACTTTTAACTCCTAGCCTCGACTATCCTTTCAAAAGGCTCTGAAACTGGTTTTGCTTTATATTGCCAGCATTTTTCTCCATGTAAAGCCATTCTTTTTTTTAAATAAAATATTTGAAAATGTAAACATTTCAACAGAATTAATCTTAAACAATATTACCAGTAACATCCAATGTATAGTCTCTTATCCTTCCATATCTGAAGGTATATCTGAGCCATTTTTTCTTTAACTTCAGTATAATATGGTTGGGTTGGGGTGATATTTCTCAGCATGCTTAATGCTATTTCCACTTCCCCTTTACTGAGAGCCAAATCTACATTAGCAACAGTGATGCGGATTTCCTCAGGAGTTCCACTAAATTCATTAATGGCATCCTGCATTACTTTAGTAGCTTCATGCTGGAATATTAAAAAAAATGTACATTTGTAACTAAATTACACTAGTACTATCAACAGGATTAGAAAAATGTATTTCATTTTAAAGCTGTTGGGTTTGCCAAACCCATTTTCATTTTATATTAAACTGGAGGTTCAATCTAATCCCAAACCATATTGCAACCGTATTGCAAATGTTGTGACCATTGTTCTTCCTTTAATGCTAACCAGTTTTTTCTCATTGTTATCTTCACTGTTCCCTTGTATTTCCCCTATCTGTTTGCTGTATCCATATGCTCAGTCTTATACTTAGGGTACGTCTAGACTACAGGCTTCTGTCGACAAAGAGCGTCTAGACTACATTGAGTTCTGTCGACAAAGCAAGCTGCTTTGTCGACGTGGTAGTGTAGACGCAAAGGACAGTTTACATTCAATAACACCTTCTGTCGACAGAAAGTCTGTCGACAGAAGGTGTTATGCCTCGTAAAATGAGGTTTACCAGCGTCGACAAAACTGCTGAGTTCGGTCGACGTTATGTCGACAGAACTCAGCGGTAGTGTAGACGCAGGTATAGTTTTGTCGACAAAAGTCCACTTTTGTTGACAAAACTCTGTAGTCTAGACACACCCTCAGATTGTAAGCGCCTCAGGGCATGTGCTGTCTTTTGGTTGTATGTTTGTACAGTGCTTATTACAGTGGGATTCTAAATCTATGACTGGTGTCTCTAGGAACTACTGCAATACAAATAAAAAGTAGTGTAATGTTTTAAAGTCTGACAGCATGCAATGGTACTTGAATGCCAGTAATACTTGAATAAAAATTTTCCTTAAGCAAATAAGAGAATTATAGATAAAGTTGAGGCTTTATTCAACAACTCCATAACTGAATAACTTGAATGTTTGTGATATATATGGTAAATTAAAAAATAACTATTGCTTATAGTGTATCTCCTTTGTAAACTATGAAATATTTCAGATAATTCATGCTGTTTATCTTTGAATAGCAAACAGCAATTTGCAAGCGGGTTATTTAAGGAAAATATTCAATATTTTGCTTGGAAATGTCTTATTTCAGTTAACTAATTGGTCCCAACTCTAATAGGAAATTTTCTCATAAGTTATATATATTTTAAAAGGCAAGAGGGGAAAGTTCATCACTTTGGAACAACACGGAACTAAAATAAAACAACATAATTTATCTGCTCTTTCAGAGTTTGGAATTCTCCATGGCAAGACAAGAATGACACTGGAAGCAGATGATTATAATTATTATCATAGGAAAACATGCATCAACAAATCATGAAACTGTCTTCATTGTCTATTCACCTGATTTTTTGAATTCTGTCAGGATGCAGTTCATTTTGGATTTATTGCAGTTGCCACATATTTCAATAAATCCACTGATGACGAGTTTTACTACACTTAATTTAATGAGCACTACAGAGTACATCATGGACTATGCCCAAAGGAGTTCACATACTTGATTCCAAGAAATACTGAGTACCTACAGCTCTCATTTAAGTAGGAGCTTCCCATAGCTCCCCTTGTCTGCAAATGAAGAACCATAGCCAATGGAAACAGCAAGGCTCCGTGGCTACAGAGCCATTAAGTAAATAAAATGGAGCATCCAATTAGCAACTTTCACTACTTTAGACTAAGATGAGGACAATGTATATACACATATAGAGCATCCCCGCTATAAGTTGCCCCGATATACATCCGTTCTGCACTAAAGTCATTGACGCTTGCGGGAACTGATGCATTGTAAATCTTCCCATTCCCCACTTTTAAGTCGTGCACAAAAAAACCCAACAACCCCAATCTGCGCGAATGGAAGCTGTGGGGAAAATATTCTCCGTTTCACTATAAGGCCAAGATTTTTGGAATGTATCTTGGACTTACAGCAAGGATGGCTTGTAATACATAAGATACACTAGTGTTTCCAAATACTGTAGCTTATGTCTTTTGAATGTGGAATTGGGGATTAAAATGTATCTATTAGGTCATGCAATTTTTGTTTTCAGTTAGAAGTAGAAATGGCCTTTTTTTGAATTACTACTTCTTATAGGAATATTTAAATAGCCTTTTGAGGATAAGATGGAAAGTTTCTCAACTATTTGTTATAGGATCCATATATGAAATATGTATACAGTAAAACCTGTGTTATCCGGAACGCTCGGGGATTAGGGGGTGTTCCGGTTATCTAAAAATTCCAGTTATCTGAGGGTCCCATCAACATAGGAAAAACCAATGGACAATAATAGTAAAACTCAAGTTTTTAATATTGGTAGTTTTGTAGCATGAGGCAGTTGGTCTCACATTTCTATTTTGAGTTAAAGATGATTAGTACTTCTTAAATAAAAAATTGTTAAGCCAATAATGGTAAACCAAGACAACCCTGTGCGCCTGAAGATGTGACAGTATTGTGGCTGGGGGCAATGCCGGTTAACTAAGTTTTCTGGTTAACAGAGTGCCAGATAACAAAGGTTTTACTGTACATAATCCCGTCCCCCCTTGTTATTTTTACAAAGTCTGTTCTATGTAGTGAGGTACTTATTAGGTATAGTACACTACATTCAATATGGGTGGAATCCTGACTCTATTGCAGTCAATGGCAAAACTCCCATTAACTTCACCCACTATGTTAGAGGAAACCACTAAAATGTTGGCATATTCTGTATAAATGCATACTTTCAGATTTATTGCCAACAAATAGCACAGAGGACAATATTATTAAGTACAATAAAATAATATATTATGGATAATAGATAAAGTGAATATCAATTATCCCCTCAGTGACGTTTGGAATCATCTTCATTGTCTTGCTAAAAAAACAGGGTAATTGTCATAGCTTAAAGAAATTATAAGTTTAATGAGACACTTGGACTAACTCTGTAGTTTCTAGAATTTACAGAACATGGTCACATCATATAAAATATATGCAGAGCTTACCGTAACAAATGGACTGTCTATCAAAAGGACTTCTTTGAAGAGATTTTATAACTGTGCTGTTGGGTTCAAAATCTCTATAGTCTGAAAAATTAAGACTCATTTGCTGTGTAACAGAAGTATAGTTCCTGTATTACTGCCCCCGCAAAATTGCATTAGGAAGCGCAAGAAAATTGCTGCTGTACCTTCTTCTAGATCTAGATTTATCATTTTCCTATATGTTCAGACATGGACTGGATACGGAAAGGACTCCGATGAGTGAATTTGCAATCATAAAATATCATATCTGCCTAATGAATTTCCTCATATTTCAAGAGATATTTTAGCAACTGATTTAGAATGCAAACATAAATATTGTTGTGCTCTATTAATGTATGGCCAGTTTAGTTTTCCTTACTGAGTTTCATTATTCTAGTTTTGCCTAATCAGAATGGCTTCTGACTTTCCAATTACAAACTTTTTACAATGTTCCTCATAATGAAAATGTAGTTTATATTTAAATTTCTTACCAGTTCCCCATTGTGTCGAAGAGCTTCTGCAAGTTCCAGATATATGGACACCCGTTCATTGGTTGTTATACTGGTACTAGTGGTTCTTTTACTTTCACATTTCTTCATGTAAGGTAAACTGATAATCATTTTTAAAATTTTTATGGCTTCTGGATAGTCTCCTACTTTATTCAGTGCTTTGGCCTTAATGAAGTGATACAATGGATAATCACGAACCTGAAAAAATAGCATGTACAGGTTGTATGATCATGACAAAAACTCAGTTACTTTGCAACCAGAGCCTGATCTTGCAGTGATTAGTTATGCAAGTTTTCAAAACCTACCATGGAACTGTCAAATGCACAGGAACCTTTGACTTGGAACACTAAATAGATGTCCTTCTGAAATTGCACTCAAGAATGTTCACTTGAAAATAAAACTAAGATAAATCATAAATGTTGTAGCCCTTTCTCTTAGGAAGGCATTTGTTACTACAGATAGGAAGAAGAAAAAAGGACCACTCACAGGACATTAGACCACATCCTTTACTGTAGCCAGGAAAAATCACTGGTTGGAAAGTACTGACTCTTCTGAGAGCACTATCATACAAAAGTGAACTATTGTGTTGTTTGCTACTCCTGAAGCTAGTACCAGTATATCCGCATTTTTAACTTTCGTGGAATGTAAGTTACTTAAGGGTATTTCTTAAGAGGAAAATATTTAGTACAACATATAAGGGATTAACTCACACAGCACATTGTATAATGTGAACAAATAATTCCAATACAAAGATTTTTTACAGATAATACTAGCTCTTACCTGAAAATTATGACTTACGCCTAACTCCAATGAATGAGAACACTCTTTGAAATTTCCTTGACACAGATAGATCTGGGCCATTAGAAGATGGACGTCTGCTGATGTAGGGTCCAAATCTAGACAGCGTTGCAGAGTGCCTTGAGCATTTTCCAATTCACCTGAAAAACAACTGACCATTTTATTTTGTTTTATAAGCAACATGAATATACTGCAAATATAATGTCTGATATGTGTCATGATGCTGTCAGTAGCTAATAAAGAGACAGAACTTTTAACCTCTGAAGCATATAATTCCTATTTAAGAATAAGAATATTAAAAAAAAGAAGAAGAAAAGAAAACATGGTGTACAGAACATATCCAAAGTTCCAGTTTGTCAATGCTTTGTGGCATCCTTCATGGTCTTACATGTAGTTCTCACTGACTTTACAGATCCGATAAAAATTCACTTGCTCTGCTTGGGTCTCTGGCAGTTAAAGGAATATCAATCAAAGAAGCACTGCTATATGATGCAGGGAAATAGCACTCTGACTCTTGGAGTAGAAATCACTGGAATATTACTGTACTTCTTCCCCAGCAACTAAGAATGGGAGGTAGGATAAAAGACTTTTCATTTTTTTCCCCAAATGAGAAGACTGGAAATACAATGGTTAATATGTATGGGAGAACCAAACAAATATTTCTGATATTATGTCTTGTCATTGTTATGCCGTTTGCCTCATGCTCTTACATTATTACTATCTTTACTTTAAAACATTCATCACTATAATGTTTTCTTGGCATCAATTACATTAATGATATAAATTCCTAGAGAGGGGAACAAAACTCTCTAATTATTGTCTATACAAACATAAGCCCCATATGAGTTTCAGTGGCAACATATAGGTGCAAAAACTCATTTTGAGCTGTACAGTGTGAAATAAAGATATCCCATCATGATTATATAGTTCTTCACAACTGAGTTCTTCACAACTGAGTTCTACTGCTTCTGAATAACTTTAAATAAAGGGGTATTTTATCAAATAATTTAATTAAGGATGGTGTAGTTCTGCCCATAATGGCTCCCACAGAAACCCACCTTATTCAATGCAGACTCTAAATGCCACAAATATTTTATATAGCCTTGGGAGTCATTTATATTTTCTGCTTTTCATTATAACCTATGGAGATTGGACCTGTGTCCATAAGGGACTGTTCAGCTAAAAATTCAAAAGGAGTAGTATTTTCATCAGATCCTAGCATTTTCCCCCGTTTTTGAGAAATAGTCATGGCTGGTTTAATCCCAATAACGAACATAGTCCTCCTTATCATATTTTCTTCTCTCTCAGTTTCATTATCAGAGACCAAATTATGACAACTTCGTCAATATTATACTACTCCTATCCTTGGAAACTGCCATGTGCATGAGCCACTGTCTAAATCCACCTATGTTTCAAATCTTGTGGTGTTATTTAATTACACTGGACAGACAGAAGGACACAAAGAAACATAATACATCAAACAGTTCTAAGAGACAAAGAAGGTGAGGTAATATCTTTTGTTGAACCAACTTCTGAGGATGGAATTGTCCAAGACCTCAAGAAGAGCCCTATGTAAGCTCAAAAGCCTGTCTTCTGACCAACAGAAGTTGGGCCAATAAAAGATATTACCACACCCATTTTGTATCTTAAATATCCTGGAAACCAACATGGTACAACAGCACTACATATGTCGAAAGGTACAAACTCAGTTTAATCCAAATTTTCAGAATGTGCTCTAGCTGTCAATGAGTCTTAACCCTAATCATCAGTTAGCATGTACATTTTTATTTTTCTTTGGATTTGACAACAGTCTTGTCTTACCTGATAAATATTTAACTTGTGCCATTAGATAAAGAGGCTCCAGCACACCAGGAGCAGCTTTAATCACTGGATTCAAAATTATAGCTGCTTGTTTAAGAAAGGGAGATACAATCTGACCAGGTGACCTAGGCTTTGAAAAATTAAGAATTAGATTGTCCAGAAGCGTAGTATACAGTTTACCATTTTAAGAGGAAAATATAATAGTGTCTAGTCTGTCCTCCATTTCTATATATACAGCTGCATAAGATCAATGAAAATTATGGGCAGGTATTCTGAAGAGATTAAACATCTAGATTTCTAAATTACAATATCAAAGTTAAATATAAATGGATAACAAATGAATACTGAATATTAAAATATTTCGCACCTGTTTGGGACAGAAGGCTAAATATTCCTTCACAATTTCATTCAAGAACATGGGATTTAGCTTTTCATAGTATTCCATGCTCAGAGAAAGGCCATGTAAAGCAGAAAAATGAAGTTCTGCAGCTTCATTCAGAAGTGCAGTTGCAGCTGATTCATTCTTGTTTTTCTTTGAAGCAATAACTGCCTGAAGATAAACTAAAATCTGCAAAAGGGAAATTCCATATTTTACTAAATCAGGACAAATGCTGTCTTTGGATAAGTGCATTTCAGTGCAAACACAAAGTGATCATCTAAAGTTTTAGTCCACTTACATCTGTTTACACACCAAATTGTGTAAACTATCCCATCCCTTATCTAAATGTTGGACTTTTAGTGCTTCGTATAATCATTTACATCCATGCAAATAAGTATCAAATGAGTATAAAACTCTACTAAATCATCAAATAAGCATGTGATTTAAGTGCCTTTCTAGACTAGCACTGGAGTACTTAGCATCTTGCATGACTGAACAATAGAGGGTGTTGCATCTTAGAAGCATTTAGAAACTACAGCTAGAGCAGAAAGTGGTTCATTTGTTAAGAAGCATTCCCCGAGTGCACATTACACTAGTATTTAGGGGTCTGCAATGGCTGCTAATTGATTTCCAGATGAAGACAGATATTTATTTTGACCTATAAAGTCCTAAATTGCAGGGTCTGTTTAAAAAACTGTCTCTTTCCCCATGTGATATAAAAGCAATAGCAATCATTGTGCTAGAGCTAACATCCCTGACTAAATGAAAGGAGGGGGGCAATAATGTTTTCTGTGGGTGGTCCTTGATTCTAGAACATTTTTTTCACCTTGATTTTCCAGAGTCCAGATTTGGTAACCTTCATAAGATCCTTCAAGACATAGAGACCCTTCCTGCTTTTCCTGAGGAAAACAAATTGTGTGGGGAAACGGAGTTGGGAGTTTTTAGGAAATCTAATTCTGAAGATTAATTTAACACATTTTGTGAATCTTTGTGGGACAGATTCTGGTGGTCAATGAAGTTACTTTTGATTTACCCCAGCATAAAGTCACAGAATTTTTAAGGTGTTAATAATGTGTCTGGAACATGGGTAAAAATGAAGAACAAAAACAAACAATTGTATTTCTATTTCTAACCGCAGATTTTCCAATCGACTGTTGAACTTCCTTTAAGAATTCCAGCTGGTGCTCTGCTTCATCTAGCTTCCCTTCCAGCACCTGGCACCAAATAATACCTGTAATGCAACAATATTAACATAATAACATGACAAATGCTTAGAAATGCAGTAAACAGAACACTTAATCACCACAATAAAAGTTCTTCTTCGAGTGGCCCCGTGCGTGCTCCACTCTAGGTGTCGGGTCCCGTCCCGGCGCCGTGGCTCAGAGACTTTTCATAGCCATGCTCCGCCGGCTCGCACATGCATGGTTCACCAGGACAGCGTTCGCGACTTTGATCAGCCGTGCGCGAGCCAGCAACCCTCAGTTCCTCTCAACCGCCTCAGGTCGCGGTCGGAGCTCCCTGATCTCTTCTTTACTGATGGTTTTAGATAGTTCTCTATTGTAAATAGTTAGAGTTAGTTAAAGCTTAGTGTTAGTCATGTTCCTGTTACTTGTTCTTCTATTTAAAAAAAACAAAACAAACAAAACAAAACAGAAAAGAAAAAGTTTTCTCTCAGAACTGTTCAGTGAAAAGCGCTGCAGCAAGGCGCTAAACTGGCGGGGATTACACAGGCATTCTTTAACTGTGGTGACAATGCCTGGATCAACTGGATTTAAAAAATGCTTAAGATGCCATGAAACCATGCCAACGGCTGACGGCCATGACACTTGTATCAGGTGCCTGGGGGAAACTCATGTCCCTGACTAGTGCACCCAGTGCCGAAAATTAACCTCAAGAGCCTGGAGGGAGCGGGAGATGAAGACAAGAATGTTGATTTTGACAAGGCATTGCAGCCTGATCTGATCCCTCCTGCGACCACAAAAACCTCTGGGCATAAGAGGAAAGCGGCTTCTCCGGGACCGGCTCTCTCCAAGACAGCAAAGCCATCCCCGACGCGCTCTCTCCCTGCGGCAGCCCCA